TATCTATCTATCTATCTATCTATCTATCTATCTATCTATCTATCTATATGGGTAAGTATATATGCTGCTGGATAAGTAAACCGTTCTCTCCCACTTTGGTCATTCTTTTCTACATTAAAATTGCATTCAACGTGACTGGACATCAACTCAACTGCAATGTAATATCCTGACAATTAAATTGCTTGTTTTTTTTCTTCTCCATTAAAGTACCCTAAATGAGGAAAGTCCACTCAGCAGCTGGAGGTATGCAGAGTCCTCGCCCGAGATAACCTTTTATGGATTATATTTCAGACCTTTAGTATTTAACTGTTTCCTGTGTTTGTTTTGTTATAATTTTATGTCTATTATGATAATTATTTGTCTTCTTTAATTTCTCTTGTAGGATGTTATATTTCATGGCAAACATGACCCTCTCAGCCTTAAAATAGAAGTTGATTGAAATAACATAGGGTTAACACCACATTTGTCAGTGTTTTAGGGTCACGATCCTTTTCCAAATATTTGAATAGTTGTTAATGTTTGCCTAAACAAAAAGCCATAAGGAACTTGACTGACCCCAGAGAAATGAAAAGCTATTGGTGGTTTTGTATAAAATTGAGTAAACATGATGATTCATGTTGAGTCATGTCAAAACTATTCCTGTCTTAGGGATTTTGCTTTGAGTTAAAACATTTTTTTGAAAATGCATCTGAACCTAATTCTGTATCGGAGCTTCAGAGCAAATTCTTCTGTGCTTATATTGTTGTAATTGGCCGACTTTTCCTCTCAAAATTTCTCTTTTGCTTTAAATATACAAGAAAAAAAATATTGATCTTTAATTGAATCATCATGTTCTCAATATGATGCAATGCATGTGAATATTAATGTGTTCATCCCCTTACTGACCCATCACTACTATATAAAGAATATAGGCTATTTATTCATCTTAAGAAGTAAAAATGTGATGTTTCTGTCCTCTTCACAGAATGACACTTCTGAACATGAATGACAGTGACTCCGGTAGTCTGAATTGTGACCTAATTCTCTGTGCAGGGCAGGCGCAAAGAGAAAGCAGACACCCAGTTACCTAGCAACTACTCTCCTTCACATAATTTTCAAGCATGGTATTCATTTATAGACCTGCCACATCCCCAATACATGTTCAAGGATTTGTCCAATCCCAACACCCACTCTCTGTCCTCTGCCTGAAGCCCCAGTCTGAGAACCAGACGTCGGCTGCATGAGATATGTCAGTCTGGCCAGTCACGAGGCTCTGCTTCCTTCCTCTTTCTGATTCTCTTGTGTAATTTGCAGGCGTCAACCACCAGCAGCAGCAGTTCCACATGAGGAGACTCCTCCAGCTGTGTGCGCCGTTAATGCTGACAAGAAGAGCCACTTGGAAAAAATAGAGAACGTTCTACCAATAACCACCCCTGCACACCTATCCAGCAGTCTGGTCTGTGTTCCTCCCTCCATATTTAATTATTGCTATTTCACCAATGAACTGTGGTGACAAACTTGCACAGGATATCTTACCCCTTCAGTTGTTGGAGCACATGACCTGCTGATGGGCAACCCTTCTGTGTCCACTCATGCATGATGAGGCTGCATGTCTTCAATCCCACGTCAAGACGGCCACGCAAAAGATTTCAGAAGGAAATACGCCATGAAGCACCACTGAATATTTGGCAAAGCAACAACATGGACTCTTAAGAGTGGACATGGGAATGTGTAAATGCCTTTAGGAGACATTTTTCTCTCTGCAAAAAGAACACATGTTGAGTATTACATTTTTAACCCCATGTGCTTTGTCTTGCACTGGAAAAGCATTGATGTATAATATAAGCAGCCTAAGAAGAAAAACAGCACAATTAACTAAATGTTAAAAAGCACCAACCCATGATTAAAAAAAACACAAAAAAACAGGATCAGTATTTTATAACTGTGTTAGCTTTTAGTGTTTTTTACATTTTGTTCTCCACTTTGTGTTTTATAAATGAGGTATGTGAATGAGAACCAAGTGCATCAAACATACATGTGGATAAGAGTGG